ACTGCGTGAGGACTGCAGTGTTCCATGTGCACCCAGCATTCCCCAGTAAAGCACAGCTGGACTTGATCTTTTCAACATGTTTGGACCAATGATAGTCCTATTTAATTCCATGATATAACCTTAGGTTACATTTTTAAAAGAATGTAATTTATACTTCAAGGTACAATGCCATTCAGGCTGTCTCTTGTAAAAACTAATAACTAAATGAAAAGCCAGATTTTTGCATTTTTAAATAAAACAGGAAATTTCTCAGACTGAGCTACCACTGGAACCCAGGTAGTCTGGCCACATTAGGAGTCACCCCTCCCATCTGCTGTGACCCGATGACAACCTACAGCAGAGCTGTGCTGGGATGAGGTTCGGCCCCTGGTGGACAGAGAACTTCATACCAAACCCAGACTGACTATGGCTGCGCCTGTCCGTGCTGCACATTTTGCACCAGTGCATCAGGTGGTTTGGGGCAGGGCTTGCAGTCCCTACCTTGTTTGTGGTGTAGCTGTCCCAGATGATGAGTTTACCATCCTGAGAGGCACTCACGAGAAGCCTGCAGGGAAGACAAACACCAGCCTGTCAGGACATGGACACGGACACAGCCACAGCCACAGCCTCACACAACTGCTGACTGCTCACGTGTGAGTCAAAGTGGCCTGTGCAGAAATAGAACACACCTACTAATAGGCCTAAAGGGAAAGTTCTAACATCAGACCAACTCTGAAACATGACGTGACTTCTACCACAGACAACAGCAGGAAGCCAAGCGCCTGGCTTTCCAGGTGGACTAGACCCAAGCCACGTCCCCGGTCAGCTAAGACAGGTGACCGCTCATCACTGCTTCTGGCTGGTTTCTGTTTGCTCTAAGTCAAATGTGAGACATACAGGCCCTTCAAGAGCCAACATGGTAGAAAACAAGTAGTATGCAATTTTTTGTTCTAGTGCATGGAAAGCAGAAATATGAGGAAATAACAAGCTTTTAGATATTCCAAACTTATGAGACATTTCTCATACACACAGCCCATGAAATCCCTAGGCTGCGCTGAAGCCAGAATCCAGATCTCCAAGACACTACGAAGCGCTCGCACCCCACCTACTTTGCAGTGATGGCAGGCTCCGGCAGAACTGCGTCTGGTTCAGGAGGAAAAACTGCCAACGCCATGAATTTTCCCCTATTTTCTTGCTCTGGGCAGGTGTGATCAGTTTGGCATGGGTGTGTTGAAAAGGTACTCTATCTTTGCAGAATGAAGACAGGAGAGTGACTGAGGGGCAAAGGGATTTCACGTGACAGTAAGTGAGCTCCTCAGAAGGGGCTCACAGCTCCTCGGAAGACAGCTCAGGAACTGCCGTTCTCAAGGGACAGCGACAGGCCCCATGTGCAGTCCTACACAGATGCGCATCAGTATGGTAAATGATAGTTTTAATTCTACTTTATCCAAACACAAAGGTTTTAACCATTTCAGCCACAAGCTTCCTAAACTGATCATAAGCTGGAGGTGAAACTCAGGTCACTCTGATAACCTGGACACTTTTCATGAAAACACACCTTCTGATGTGCCCGGCACAAGCTTCCTTTACAAGGAATCAACGAGGAACTTGGTAAGGGGTAGATGACTTCAGCACCTGCTACAAAACGCATCTGAAACCGAACTAAGTGCTGTTGTCTCCCAGAAGCACGTTCTCCAAGCAAATCCCTACATTTCAGCTCGGCCACATGCCCCTTGGCTCAGCCACGTATACCTCGGTTCAGTCATACACATTGCGAGCACTTAACAATTTCTGTGTAAGAGAGTAGGGCCTGCTCTGCTACCAGTCTGTCTGCTCTAGATGGGATTCACCGGGCCAGAGTAGAGCCACTCACCTCCAGGAGGGTCACCTTCAAGGAGGGCTCCCGCTAAGAGAGCTTAGTATGTGCTGACTCGTCCGGGTTAGAGGAATGCTAATACTCACTGATCCTCCAGAAGGTGAGAGGAGACACCTGGTAATCCCAGGGGGATAACCACTGCAGACCGGGATTCACCCGCCTCCAGAGCCTTCTGCCAAGCAGCGATCAGTCACCGAGAGGTACCACCCACCACGATGCAGAGGAAAAGAGGAACCCGGCCTTCCGGGCCCCGACACCCAACAGAGGCCAAGGGGGGCCCACAACCCATTGCCTCAGGCCCTTCCTTGCTCAGAAGACGGAGGCTCCTGGGCCTCGCTGGGTCAGTGGGGCTTCACTCTCAACTATGACAAGACTTTAGTCGACTTTGGAAAGCGGAGAAAAGTCTAACATTCACTTAGATGCCTGAGACTCTGATGTGTTATAGAAAGTAGAACTTAAGTATAAATGTATTTTACTATGTTAACAGACATTATTGACATAGAGACAACGCCCACTGACACATGCACATACAGAGCCCTCGTTGCGTGTCTCCGCAGCTGGGGG